ATAGCACCACCATCAACCTTACCTCTCCCGTCTTTCCCCACATCACTGACCCATTTATCTCCAAGCCTTCCAGCCCCAACAGTCCCTTTCCCCCTGATTTGGAGTCGGGCCAACTTGACCTTGAACCCCCACCCCCTTCCTGCTGCTACCTCACTGCATGACCTCAGGCAAGTGCCTGAACCTGTCTGAGCCTCTTTTGACAGGGCTGCCAGAGGATTAAATGAGATGGGACCTAGAAGAAATAAGGTCTCTGGTGTGGTGCCTGATCCCACTCCCTCCTTTACAAACATTGAGCTCACTCAGTCCTAACTAAGAACCAACCACAGCTCCACCTGCGAGTCAAATTATTTCCTTGGAAGAGTCAAGCGGAGCTTTCTCGGCAGACTGCAAGGAAATAAGAGAAGGCAGCTGTGGGAGAAAAGCTGGGCTGAGTGGAGGGGAATCTGGGTTCTCGTTTTCCCTCTGCCTCTGACATATCTTGATCCAGGCAGTGTGCTAAACACTGGGTAGGCTTGCTCTCCTTTAGGGCACACAGCATCCCCAAAGGAGAAAGGTTCCATTATTCCTAGAGAGAATCCCAGGCCGAGAGGTAACGTGACTTGCCCCCAGCTCACCAGCACCTGAGAGCCAGAAGCAGGACTCTGCTGGCATCTCGGTAACCCCAAAGCCCTTATGCTGGCGGCTCTAATTTTAGTCTGCCTCCCCATTACCTGGAGACCTGGGTGGCAGCAGACCCCCGCAAGATCACCTCCAGAGAGTTTGGTTCCTGAAGTCTGGGTTTGGGCCCAGGCAGAAATCCTCCCTGTTAAACACCCAGGTGGCTCCGAAGCAGGGGATGCAAGGTCTCCAGTTTGAGAGTCACCACTCTCCGCCATACTGGTCCTGCTGGCCAGTCCCCCCAGGCACCGAGCCCCATCCTCACCTGGGAGACTGGCGTCCTGTGATGCCGTTTGGCTGGGCAGCAGTGGGACCAGGAGCTGGGAGCCTGCTGCTCTCAGTCCAAAGCGGAAGTTCCATTCCCCCAGAGATGAGAAGGGCCTTTCCCTGAGAGCCCCCTCCCAGGGGCCCAGCAGGCGGGCTCCCCTCCCTGTCACCCCATTCTCACCCTGTCCTGCTGCTCTCAGGCAGTTTCAGGTCCGGTTTCTGTGATTTGGAGGGGCTTTCTGTAAATGGGTGGATGGGTGGTGAGTTTCGCTTTGCCAGCTCAGCAGCTGTGGGGAGAACAGGCTGTCTCTGGAGAATGTCCACAACTGGTGGCTTGGTGCCAGGGCCCCTGACCTCATGATCTTCTACAGGGAACAGGGGTGTTCCTCAATGAAATGAAAATATGGCTGGCCTGGTGCCTGGGTGCTAGATTTGGAGTCAAAAACCTGGATTCATAACCCGGCTCTGCCGCTTACCAGCTAAACGTTTTCAGCCGAGGGAGCCCAAGGGAACCCCATTTCCTCTGTTATATGGTGGGACCATAATTACACCTGCTCTACAGAGCACATGGGGACTCTGATGGGACAGGGGAGGAGAAAGGGGAGGGTAAGCTGTGAGGCGCATTGCACGTGTTAATTGTTAATATCATGCCATGTCCCAGGCTCCTCCTTCTGGGTCCCTTTCTACGGCTTTCTTCCCATTCTGCAGTCTTCCTCTTTCCCATCTAATAATGAAAAATGAATTTTAAATGTGGTCATTATTTATTTATACCCCTTCTTCTGCTTCCAATGGGGCTCGAAGCTGATGACAATAATAGGCACAGGTGGGGGCCTGTTGCTTATTGATCCTGGAATCACCCAGTTAAGGCTGGAGAGGGGCTTGGAGGTCACCCAGCCCATCCTCCTTGTCACATATACGGGGAAGCTGAGGCCCACATGGGAGATGTTTATCGTGAGCCCTGCGCAGATCGGCCCTGTTTCCTGCTCCTATGGAGCATCCCTTCTACTGAAGAAGGCTCGTGTGGAACATCCAATGACACAGTGGTTTCATTGCTCCTGTGATAAATGCCACAAAAAAAGAAGTGACTTCTGGAGCCCAGACCTCATGCAAGTGGCAGATGCAGGACTCGAAGCCAGGCATGCTGGCACCAGATAGTAGCTCTTTTCTGAGGCTGTGTCTAAGGCAATGGGACGCCCCTCTCGGGAATGGTTGCCCAGCAAGCACCAGGAGCTGGCGCAGATCAGGAGGTCACTTCTCGACATCTGTACTTGGACATAGAAAATTGTTGGGCTTGCGGACGCTGCTTGATAGAAATCGTTAACTGTAGTGGGTGAAAAGACCAGTCTGATGAAACCAAAGGGTCTGGGCTCAGCCAACTATAGATTTAAAGGCCTGGGTGAGGAGGAGACGGCTGTGGATTCTGGGCAATGAGAGGGGGATTAGGAGGTTGCAGGTCCGGGGGCTCCATCTGAGGGTTCCTGAGGTCACTTGGGCCTGGTCTATAATTCTTTGATGGCTAATGGCAATGGGAAAAAATGAGCTTGAACCTGGAGTAGCAACAGCAGGGTGGGGGGAAAGGGCAAGGCTTTGGAATCAGCCCCTCCCAAGGTTGAATCCCAGCGTGGCCTCTTTCTGGTTATGTGGCCTCAGGCACCTTGATTGACCTCAGTTTCCCCATCTATGAATTGGGGGTATGAGCACCCATCTCCTGGGGTTGTTGTGGGGGGGCCAGTGAGGTAACCGTGCAAGTCTGGGGCCCAGCTGAGTGCCAAGCCCTTAGTGGGCCCAATGCAAACCTGGGAATAGTATGATTTGTACGAGGAGAAGACAGAACTCTTAGAGCCTGAGGGCGTAGGAGCCATCCCCAGACTAGGGATCAGGAGCTAAGGGAACCAGCTGGTCTCTGTACCCATAAAATCGTTGAGTTGCGTCTGTGGTAGACAGGGCATGATACCTACAAAGTATGGGAAAATAACCCTAAGTCCCCTCAGTGTCCTTCGGTGTGAGGGATTCCTTACAGCTTGGGGTGTCTCATTCTGGCTCCTGACCCACTCCCACTCCCCCTTTGCTGCCTCCCTTAAAAAAACTCTTGCCCAGCTTCCCTCAGCTCAGCAGACAAACTGGCATTTTCAAAAGCCTGTCTCTCCTGGCGAAGACAGAACAACAGGGAAACAATTATGAAAAATAAAAACGCCACAAAAATTGTCATTTCCAAAGTACAGGTTTCTGATCTGACACAGTGGCCTATCTAAATGGCGTATTGATTTTTTAAACAAAAGAAAAACGAAAAGAACGATGTATCACTCGGGGTGTCGCCAGGCAGACCGCTAAGTGGTTGACGGAGGGGAGCTGTGAATGAAATGGCCTCGCGACCTTGGCTCTGGCCCTGCCAGAGGCGCCCAGGCCCTGTGAACACAGCTGGGCTCCTCGGCCCTTGCCTCTGTTCTCACTCTGTGTGTGTGTCTTTATCTTTCTCCCTCCTTCCAGTCTGACACATTTCCTGTGCCCCTACTATGTGCAGGCACATGTCAAAGCAGCCCCTTTCTCAAGGATGCTCGTCCTCCAGTGGGGGAGGCAGACATGTAAGCGAGTAAGTACACGAAAGTTGGTGGACCACGTGCGTTGACTGCACCTGGCAAATTGCCCACTCACCCACAGCCCTGTTCCCCCCAGATCTTTCTAAAAAAGACTTGGATCCACAAATCTATGTTTGTTTTATAAATAAATCTGCACATAATATTGTTGCACCACCAAATTTGGGGACCTGGGCTCTAAAGAGCCGTGAGTTTGTGGTCCAAGTCTGTGGAGGGCACTGTGGAGACACAGAGAGGAGCATCAGGAAAGGCTTCATGGAGGAGGTGACCTCTGTGTTGAAGCCTGACCATTGAGTGTGCAGTATCCAGGTGGATGAAGGAGTTGCATGAGCGGGGCGAAGGGGTTTTGCAGGATGAAGGAACATCACGGGCAAAGGCATGGAGGTGTGAAACAGCCCCTTTCAGAAATAAAGATGAAAAAGTGGATGGAGGCAGTCAGAGACCTGGGCTCAAGCCACCTCTCTTATAGCCCACTTCAGTTGACTGGTGTCTCTGTGAGCTCCGTGGGGCCTTGTGGAACCAAGTTGATGTCCCACCCAGGCTGGAGCGGATCGTCTCATGCCTGAGTGGGTCTCACTGGGCTCCAAAGCTGGATCTGCAGTTTACACAGGAAAGTTATACTTTTTTACCTTTTTGACCCTGAACTGTCAACTTCTCATGGTCACCACAGTGCAAGTGCTGCAGCTGATGGCCTCCTGGTCCTCCAGTCAGGATTGTGGCGGCTGGGCATGACCATCAAGAATCTCACAGTGAAGCTCTGACAGCTTGTGAGCAGCAGCGGTTTCAGATCATCTCTTGGGGGCTCTCAGAGTCTGTCAGACGTCCTGGAGACATATTCTCACTCTCTCTGACCCATTCATGCCCACCTCAGAGCGTGGTTATGAATAGCAAATGACTTAATAGGTGGGTTTGCATAAACTTGGTGCATAGTAAGTGCTCAATAATGTTAGCTATTGTGAGTTTTTATTCACTCATTCATTTGCTCTTTCAGTCATGCATTTACTTACTTATTCATTCGTTCATTCTCCCCAGTTCACTCATGAATTTGGCACAAAGTCATTGCACATCTGGTCTTTGTCTATGCTGGGCTTATCGAGCCCAAACCCCTCCTGTGACAGGTGCTCCCAAAATTCAACACAGGTTGACACAGGTCTGAGAATTCAAACACACTCCTGTTTACCTGTGAGCATGATGGATACCTTTAGTGACAGCAGTGCCTCTCATCTAAACAAGCGATGGCAGATGGCATCGTGGGGGCTTCTACCACGCTTGAGCTTTCTCTCCCGAATGGCCAAATGCTGCTGAGTGTCTCAACATTGACACCATCCTTTACTGAGCCCCAAGTAGATGCCCTGTCTGGGTCTAGAGCCCACAGATGGCTGTAGCAGGTGCAATAGTGACGATAAAGAGACTTGCTTCTTCAAGGAATTGGGAGTGAGGAATCAGAACCATGCGTATCTATTGATTTAATCATTTATTTGTGTATCTCCCTGCCTCTTCCAAGACTTAGAAAAAACTAATGATAGTACTAGAGGTGTCGGTTAAGCGTCAAAGCAATGAATCCTGCAGGAGCTCTGAGAAGGAAGAGAACTCATGAGGTGTGGGGTGTCAGGGTGGGCTTCTTGGAGGAGTCCATCAGGTGGAGAGAATGGCCTGAGCGAGGATACAACATGGCAAGTCCATGCAGGAAAGCCGAGGGAGGTGGAGTGACCCAGGGCTGGAATAGGCCTCCCCCCTAGTCGGGGAAGAGCAGGAAGCCGGAGAAGACACTGTCAGAGCCCTCAGTGCCCACCATGCCGTTGTAGTCATTGACCGCCAGCCACACCTGCTGGCCCACCTGCATCTGTAGCAGCACACCACCTGAGCTGACCTGCTTGGTGTTGGACATGTGGTCACAGAAGGTGGTGACCCTGACACCGTCGCGATACAGTTGCACGCACAGGTTGGCCGTTTGCGACGTGTGGTGGGCAAAGTAGTACAGCCCAGGGACTTGGCAGGTGAACTTGCCTGTGCTCGTGTCATAATGCCCCTGTGGGTTGGTGACAGCTACGTTGAACTTGACCAGGCCGTTGGCCGCTGGGTACTGAACTGTCTGCCGTGTGACCGTGAACACTGACTGGTACTTCTGCTTGTATCTGCCCTCTTCACCCGGCTCCCCGGGAGGTCCCATGATTCCGGGAGACCCCGGAGCCCCAGAGGCTCCCATGGGGCCATTTTTACCAGGATAACCAGGTGTGCCGGCTTCTCCCTTCTGACCTTTGGGTCCTCGTGTCCCAGAGCTAGCTGGAATTCCTGGGGAGAGAGCAGGTGGGAAGGAAGTGATGGGGCAGGGGACAGACCGCAGGGGTTTGTTCTCTAGAACCTTCTTCTCCCAGATGCACGATCCACCTCGGAGCCGTGGGCAAAGCCTATAAGTTGGCCAGAGGGGAGGGAGACCCTAGTACAAGCCCTGCCTCCCCATGGACTCGCCCTCTGATCTTGGTTAAGTCACCTGTCTCTCAGCCTCAGTTTCCACATGTGTGATGGGGAGGGTAGGACCAGCCTGCTCAGGAGGATCTCAGTGTGTCGGAGGCCACTACTCTGATACCTTATGTTTCACCTGCCCAATTTTTTAAAACTTTTTATCTGGGGCCCCACATTAACAAGTTCACAACTCCCCTAAAAGTCTAGGTCTTCGGTTTTTCCCGATAAACATCAGAAGTTTGCTCAGAGGCAGATTTCCTGGAAAGCTCATCAAACTTAAGTTTCAGGGCCCATTAATGTGCACTGGCCCCTTCAAGGCCCTTTGCCTAATTTTATACTCATAAATGTTTTCAACTTTTTATGTTGAAATAAGTATAGAGTCACAGGAAGTTGCAAAAGAAAGAAAGAAAAACAAAGGGAAAAGAACAAGGAGGCTCCGTATGCCCCTCACCTAATTTTCCCCAACGGCACATCTCGCACAAAAAAAGTACGATATCGAAAACTGGAAACTGGCCTTCCTGCAGTCTATGGGGCCCCACGTTTACACACACTACTTACGTGTGTGTGTGCGTGTATATAGTTCCAATACAATTTTGTAGCACGTGTAGGTTTGTATAGCACCGCCCTCCCTGCGATTGAATGTGTCCCTAATTTTGTATTATTTTTCTTAAAGAGGGTCCTCGACATTTTCTAAGCCTCGGAGCCCCACGAAACCTGTATCTGTTCCCCAGGCCAGCTTAGCACGTGGGAACCACTGAATGGAGCCAAAGAGAATCTGTCCCCTTAAGGAGGCTATTATTCTCTTTAGTTCCCCCAGCCCCTTTTAGCCCACTGCAGCCTCCCGTGACGGCTGGCCTGGTTCAACTTCCCTCATGTTGAAGATGAGGAAATTGAGGCCACAGACTTGCCCAAGGCCATGTAGCTGGTTCAAGGTGGACTCAGGACTCAAAGTCAGGTCTGGCTGAGTCCCAGTCAAAACGTCTGATTCTTGTTACTACCCTGATCATCGGAGCCTCTGCGAGATTTTTCTCTCCTCTTCTAAACCTTACTCATCTTTTAGGGTCTAGCTCCAATGTCCTCTTCCAGGAAGCCCTCTCTGACCACCCCACCTGCCCTCATCGCTGCTTCCTCCTCTGACTTTCTTAGGCGTAGGTGTCTATGCAGACCTATTTGTGACAGATTCTCCGCATGGCTTGTGAGCCTTTTAGGTCCCAGGGTTAGGCGTGGAGGATCAGGATTAAGCGGACCTAAGGCTTCAGGCTTTGTGACCCTGGGCAGTTGACCTCCCCTTCCTGAGCCTCTGTTTGTCCAGTTGAGATAAGGACATAGTAGAACTGATCCCACAGAGCCACTGGAAGGGTGGGGTGGGAGAGCACACGTGCCAGGCACCTCATTGGGAGTGCTCAGTAATGTCAGGTCCCGCGATGGCTGTCAGAGGTACTGAGTGGGGCCCTGTCTCATCCTTGGAGACATCTCCCAATGACTGATTGGGAGGGGCAGGATACTGCAGTGGGGAGGGGGTCCGAGAGGCATGGAGGGTAATGGTTGAGGGTGTGGCCTTTGGAGTTGGATAGGATTCTACAGTGTGACTTCAGGTAAATTGCTCAATCTCTCTGAACCTTAGCTTTGACACTTGTAAAATGGGAATATATCGCTTCTTTAAAGGATTTTGACCTCGGTTTTCTCATTTGTAAAATAGGATTAGCAATTTTACCTGCCCCATGAGATAAATATATGTAGAGCATTTGGAACTGTGCCTGGCATAGTAGGAGCTCAAAAATTGACCCTCAGCTACCCTGGGCAGTGAGATGGCCAGAGGCAGGCAGTACAAGGTCTGGAAAAATGGCAGACCTGAGGTCCTCAATTCAGCTCACCCTGAATTGGAGAATTCCTTCTGGAATGTGGGCGAAATTCCCCACATTCTATTCCCCACACTCTATTGCCAGGAGGGAAGGGGAAGGTGGGGAGGTTCCTAAGGACATTGTACTTCACTGGTTCCCCTCCAGTCCCCTACCTCTGCCACCCCCATCTCCTCTGCCTAAGCTGACCTCAGCCTCCAGACACTCTGCCTCCCATATGCACCTCCTCTCTGACCAGGCACCCCCAGACCCCAGTCTCGCCAACACCAGCCTCACTCGTATCCCCAGCCCCCTTCGCTCATGCCGGGGCTCGCCCGGGAATCTCCCACAGAAGATTCTGTGCCTGTGATCCCGACTTCTCGCTCACTCCTCCCTCCTCTAACGACCCAAATCCTGGGGAGGGAGGTGAGCACAGGTCTCTGATAAAAACAATGATGAAAACAGCAATAATAGCCATAGCCTACACTTAACCTGGTATCTACCATGTGCTCGGTACTGTTTTATATTTAAACTTAATTAATCGTCACAGCAGCCCTGTGCAGTAGGTGCTGCTATTTCTCCATTTTACAGATGAGGACACAGAGGCCCTGCAGGGTTAAGTCACTCGTACAGGTTTGCATGGTGGGAAGTGGTGGGGCTGGGATTTGAACCCTGACCGTCTGTGCATCGTGTACATTCACCGCATGGGCTCCGCCTTCCCCCGGGGGTGCAGGGCAAGGAGTAGAGGGGTTGTAATAAAATGGTAGCTCAGCATTTTAGAGTTTGCCAAAGGTTTCGCGTGGGTCGTGTCCTGTGGTCCCCCCGCCGCCTCTGGGGCAGGTGCTTGTGTTCTCTCTGCTGTCAGATGAGGAAACTGGGGAGGCTCGAGATCTGGGTTCTGAGGACAGAGGGGCTACACCTGCCATGAGAGGTGGACTCTGCCCTGGGAGAAGTTGTGGCAGGAGGGTCAGCACTCTTTGCCATCAAGTTACTATCCTCCTTCCCCGGGTCAGCCCCAGACCTGCACTCTGCCCCCTCCCTCCAGGCCCGAGGTGACCCCTCCGCACCAGGCCAGCAGACTCACCTGGTTCACCTTTGGGCCCTTGTAGTCCGTCGTACCCATCCTTCCCTGGGGCCCCAGGCAGGCCCGGCATTCCGGGGATTCCATAGCATTCTGTGCTGGCCTGGCCCCCACACGGCAGTGCCAGCAGGAGCAGCAGCAGGTTTAGTCCAAGGAGGGGCCACGAGATGGAGCCCTTGTCCATCCTGGAGAAGGAGCTGGATGGGGAGAGAGCTCAGCTGGCCCACCCAGCCCCTCACCGTCTCACTCCCCAGCGCTCCTCCCTCTCTGTCCTCAGGAGCCTACCTCCCTTTCCCAGGCCCCTCACCCCTTGGGACCGCATGATAGCTAGAGAGTGGGGTCTTTTCTTGGAGCCCAGGCTCTCCGCTCAGCGGAGATGGGGACCCTCCTTCTTCTCACATAGCAGGCTGTCCCTGGGACCATGATTCAGGAAGCTGGCGGGGGAAAACTGCCGTTTGCTCTTGTCTGGATGGGGGTCCTGACCTCACCTGGGGGTAGGAGGTTTCTAGTCTGGTCACAGAGATGTCCTCAGATCTGCTTCCCCTCTCCTAGGCGAGAGGACACCGTGTCAGAGCGGACACAGCGAGGAGGGCCCAGCGCTGACTGGGCGGCCCCTTCTCACTGTCTCCCCGCATTCCCACATCCCCTTTCCCACAATTTTCCCTGACTCAATACTTTCTTTGGGGTATTGAGCTAGGCTGACCACAGTGACGCCCCTGTGTCCCCCCACCCCTGGGTCATGAGTGTCCGAAATGAGGAAATGGCGATAGCGCCGGATCTGGTGAAGGATGTGTGTGTGTGTGTGTGTGTGTGTACACATAAGTCTCCTGGGCAGACTTCCCCTAGAGTTAAGTTCAGCCCATCTAATGTCCATTCCCATTTGTTGGCATTTATTGTTCCTGAGACTCAGTTATTTCACAATATCTCCAGAGGGAAGTTATAAAACCACCCTCCTTTTCAGATGAGGAAACGGAGGCTCAGGGAGGCGAAAGCCTTTGCCAAAAGTCACGTAGTCAGTGGTTTCTCAGGGTCCGGAGCCTTGCCCTGACTCCCGTTTAGCTGTTCCCAGAAATCAGCCTCGCATGTACTTGTCAAGTGGTAGGCCTTATCACAGGAACTCCATATGCTCCTCACATTTGTCGTACGTGGGGACGGACACCCAGGGTGGGCAAGCTGAGATGCTGGGCAGCCTGCTGTGGTGGACAGATTCCTCTGGCTCCAGAGTCAGGGGCCTTGGGGTCTCCTACCAGCGCTGCCACCCCCTTGCCCTGAGGCCTCAGCAAACCACTGACCCCTCACGGTCTCAGTCTTCCCATCCGCATACTGGGTGGTGGAGGAGACTGGGGCTTTGCGTCTTGACACCCCTCCCTTTGCTGGGGCTGCTGATGACCCCACCTTCCCTGCCAGCACCATCTTCCTCACCTCCATCCCTACTACCTCCGCCTCTGACCTTGAGTCCCTTGTGGCCTGTGAGGCATTGCCAGTCGGGGCCAGGCTGGCCGAGCTGACAGAGCCTCCCCGCTCCCCCCCGCCACCCTCCCCCCTCTCCCGGCTCTTTTTCTCTTCTCCTCACATGAGAATCCAAGGGGGAAGGAGTTGTTAGGCTACAAACAGTTCCAATCCTGACCCCACTCCTTCCCCCAATGTCACTCGGGGTGGGTGGTTTGCCCTCCCTGAGCATAGGATCCTCCTTTGTAAATGGGGGTGGGGGCTCCTAATAGCTCCCATGCAGGGCAGTGGTGAGGAATCTGTGTGATGCATACTGATGCTTTGCCCCATGCTGGGCACGTGCAGGCGAGCAGAGCCCTGCCCCTGCCTTTCAAGTGACCTTCAGGGCTCAGTCTCCCCATCTGTCCTCCCATCCTCTAGCACGGGGCTGCAGAGTGTGGGACGAGAGCGAGGACGTGAATGCACTTGACCCTGGGAGTCCTTGGGGTGGGGGTGGGGAGCAGGGGCACTGACAGGCTGGATGGCACCTGAGGTCCTATCTTCCTCGTCTCATTTGCGCCCGAGTCTGGTTTGTCCAGCAGATGGCAGCCTTGGCCCACACTCAGTCCTTCCCTGCCCCACCCACCCGGCCCAGCTCTGTCCCTGCATCCCAGGGCCAGCGATTTGCCACCGCGGACGTGGGTAGATATGGGTGGAATTCAGGGTAAGGAGCAGCCCCTTCCCACCATTTCTATAGCCTGGTCTCTTCTACCACTTATGGGGCCCCCGTCCCTGACATTTTCTTTGAGTCTCACTGCAATGAAAGAAACCCTCCACTTTGGGGTCAGGCAGAGCTGGTTCAGATCTAGGCCATGCCACTTTCTAGCAGTGTGACCATGGGGAAATGTCTCCTTTCTCTGAGCCTCAGCGTCCTTCTCGATCTTGCTGGGATTAAATGCGTCCATGGCTATGAAATGCCCAGCATATAGTAGATGCTCAGAATTTGTTTCTTTTCCCAGTCCATGGCTCTGTATGTTCTGGGGAACAGGGTGGGGAGCTGGTGAAGACTGGAGACCCAGTGGGGGTTGAGGGGCTGTGTGTAGTCCAGCACTGCCCCGGTCTACAGAGGGGTCACTCTCTTCTTCTGACCCCCAAAGGCTGTTGGCGGGACGGCCCCAGGAGAAGGTCTTCAGGGCATATTGGAGGTGGGCATGGGGCGTTGTATGTATGTAAGGACTCCAAGGCTGCTTGTGTGTCAGCCTGTGGATGAGAGACACAGTCCCTTTGGGAGGGTCAGGGTGTGTGGCGGTCAACGTGTGAGAGAACATGGGTGTTTCTAAGGCACGGGCACGTTAGCAGAGGAGAATGTGTACATCTGTGTCAGTGGAGTGTCTGGACACGTCTCAAGGTGTGCGAGCAGGAATACGTCTGATGGTTTACAAGGGGCACTCGAGCGTGCGAGTCAGGGGTGTATAGGTACCACAGCACGTGTATCCCCGGTGCGTCTGTGAGTTCGAGGGCATAACTCGCGTGGCCGTGTCCAGGGCTGTGCAGGGGAGGTGCAGGAAGTGGATGTGTGCTGAGGTGGGGACCACTGTGCCCGCCTTTTGGTGAGGAGAGGCTGAGTTTTGGTCCAGGAATGAGAGTCCACGTATGTCTCGAGGAAGGTGTGTGTGCCCTGGTGGTGTGCATATGTATAATCGGGTGTGTGTACGTGCGTGTGCAGCGTGAGATAAAATTGGCTCGGCTCCCTCTGGGAAGATGCACCGGGCGCTGGACATTTTCTGATCTCCTTATTTTCCTCACAGAGAAAGGACACAGTGGGGCTTCCTGCTTCTAAGCAGCTCCTGGACGGGCTATGTGGGACCCTGGGAATGAACCACAAACATTCCAGACCCACCATCCCAAGTCCCCAACCCAGGCGAGATGCCCAGCAGGCAGCAGCCCCAGCCCCTATGCCTGCCGGGGTGGAAGCCCAGGGCTGGACTCAGGAAACTGCACAGAGTGGGCTGCTGGGTGCCCTTGGGCCAATTACTCCCCCACTCTGAGCCCTGCTCCAGGCTTTCTGGTTCAGGGTTGGAAATCATGTGTGTCATTTGTCAGGTGTCTGGCTGTAAGGTTGGCGAGGATGGCAGTTAAACACAGGCATGGGCATTATTAAGACTTGGAGTCAAATCCTAGCTCCTCTTCTTAAATACTGACTTTAGGCTTTGTGTCCGCCCCAGTGCCCAGCCTCAGTTTCATTATCTGTAAAATAGGGCCATATACCCACCTCAGAGCTCAATTGTAAGGATTATACAAATATAATGATAGCTAAAATTTATGAAGCCCTTACGAAGGACCAGGCACTGCTCTGCAATTTTCATATAGTAAGTCATTTAATGCTCCCAACAACCGTTGGAGTAGGTGCCATTATTATTCCCACTTTACGGACTAGGAAACTGAGGTTGGCTGAAGTTATATAACATGCACACAGCTGGAGAACTAGTAAATGATGGCCCCAGGATTTGAACTCAGGTCCATGAGGCTCCCAAGACCTGCCAAATATATAATGTAAAATACTAAATAAGGACCTGCCTTGTAAGCACTCAATAATTGTTGTCGTTCTTATGCCTCCCTTCCAATGCTCAGCGTAGCAACGGAATCTCGAGCCAGCAGACATGGACTCAGATATTTATTCCAGGAAGAGTCCTAGGGAATGATCTCTCTTCAGCTAAAAGAGCAGCACCCCCACGTTACAGAGCAGAGCAGACACACCAGAGAGGTGGAATGAGTAGGCTTGGGTCACACAGCAGGAAGCAGATGAGGCAAGGGTGGGGAGGGGGTCCTCCCTGGCTCAGGTGGATGGGAAGATGAGGAAGCCGCTGAAGACGCTGTCCGCCTCAGAACCCTGGTAAATGCGGCCCTTGGCGGGGTCCTTTTCGATCCAGACCTGGTCTCCCTGCTGGAGCTGGAGCACCGTGCCCCCAGATACCACCTGGAAGTTTCCCTTGCTGTTGGCGTCACAAAAGCCCAAGGCGCGTGGGAACTGGCCCTTCCTGGAGGACATGATGGACAGGCAGATGTCCCACTTGGACACCACCTGGAAGGTGAAATAGTAGTAGCCTGGCACAGCGCAGATGAACCGGCCCGAGTGGCTGTGATAGCGGCCTTCCTCGTTGGTGATGACCATGTCGAAGATGACCACGTTGCCGCCCATCGGTGGATTCCGCCTTATGGCTGAGAAGGCTGGTCGAGGCTGGTCATTGATATTTCCCTGGCTGCCCTTGCTGCCCTTCAATCCTTGAATGCCCGGGGCACCCAGGGGACCACTGGGCCCAGGGAAGCCCATTTTGCCAGGATTTCCAGAGGGGCCAGGGTCCCCCTGGTCTCCTTTAAGGCCTCGGATGCCTGTCCGGATGCCAATGGCTCCTGTTGGGAGAAAGGCCAGGTCGGGAGTGAGAGTCTAGTGTCTGCTCGTCCTCAGGGAGATGGCTGAGACCCTGGGATGCTGTGGGATAGAGGACAGGGGCGTGCCTGGGCTTTCAAGACATTGATTATGGCTGGCTGTGTGGCCTTTGGCAAGTGTCTCAACCTCTCTGAGCCTCAGCTTCTTTATATAATAGAGAGAAGTATGAACAGGCAGTTGGGAAAGTGTCAGATTCTATGAAAAGCAGGACACTGGCTCCTTTACTGTGTTTGTGCTCATGGCCTTGCATCCCATATCCCATCAGGCCACTGACCCTAACCTCTTCAATTTTGAGAACTACATGTAGGATGCCAGGATGCAAATTATTGCAAATGTCTGCAGATCTTTCTGGTCTGCTGGGGACTGGGAACTCAGGGGGATCACACAACACTTTCCTTTGCCACTCTTGTCATGTCCTCCTCCCTTTTCCTTCACCCCCAAGCTTTTTTTCTGAAATGAGAGAGTTTTTGAAGCCTGAAGGGGCTAGGAAGGGGGAAGCAGGAACAGAGTTGGGGGTGGTGGTAGAAAAAAACAAACAGGGTAGTTGCCATTAATTGATCTCTTTCTATGTGCCGGCTGGGGTTATTTCTCTATTTTATAGATGAGGAAACTAAGTCTCAGAGAGAGTCAGTAACTTGCTTGAGGTCACACAGAAAGACAAGGGCTCCTGAGTCTAAAACTTAGGGCATTAATTATTCTGGTAACTGAACAATCACCAAGGATTTGGGCAACGCTTTGGGACCATTCTTATTCATTGCTTGCAGTGACCTATTCTTTAGAGGAGAGGAAGGCAGTCAGGGGAGGGGGATATGGAGAGGCTTGGGGGTCTGGGCACATGGCCCAGGGAGAAGGCTAGGGCCCCCTCGGCCCCTGGGACCAAGTGCAGACTAAAGAACCTTTACGTGGGGACCCTGGTAGACTCCTGCTTCTCAGTGCCACTCCCAAGCCTCCATCCTGGAGGCCAGGTCAGGCCAAGGGACGAAGGGCTGGGGTCCAGGGGGAGGTGCTTACCTGGCTCCCCTTGTTCTCCCTTGAGGCCTGGCCTCCCGGGTCGTCCAGGTGGTCCTGCAGCCCCGTCTCTCCCATCTGGTGCTCGGCACACGTTCTGGCTCACTGTAGAGGCCACGGACATGGCCAGCACACCGACCACCAGCCAGCCCCATGGAGCCTCCATGATGCCACTGTGGAGACACGGCAGGGCCTGGGCAGGCTGGACATCTCACACTCGTTCCCACCCAACTCACACACTCGAATCCCACCCCCCGCCAATGATATATACACATCCTCCCACCACCAATGCACACCTCCCTTCTCCAGGGAACACACACATGTATATATATAGAAGCACAAACACAGACACACACATGCAACTGAGCATACCTTTAATCACACACCCAGACACACAAATCACTTCTCTCCCACACACTCAGGGACAAACAAACTGACACCCAGATAGACTCCATCCCTCACTCACCTGGACACACACGTTCATATACTCCTACAGATGATCAATTTCATTGAACAAATATTTATTGAGAGCCTGCTCCTTACTTAATTAACATTCTCTCACTCAGATGGCAGAGCTGTGCATATGCACAGGAATTCACAAACACCTGACACAACACTTCTGCTCACTCCCTCACACACTTGGCTTCTTTCAGGCTGACTGTCACCCCCTGTCCCGTCAGTGAGACCCCTCTGCTGGGCTCTGAACCTCTCATCCTTTTCCCAGCTTCTTGTGTTTTGGGGGGCCAGGACCCAGGAACTCTAGTTAGAGCTGATGGGTCTGTTTCACCACCCTCACCCTCCCCTAAAGCCCACGGAGTAAAGGGCTCCCCAGTCCCAGATTCTGAGTCCTGGATCAGCGCCCCACCCAACCTCATTCTGGCACAGAGCAGCTAGTGGTGCTCTCCCTCCCTCCCTGCCTGAGTTACCTAGTTATCCAGCCTCCTAAGCCTGCTTGCCTGAATTTCATAGCCCCCTCCCGGTCAGGCTGGCCTCACCTGCCTCCAATGGTCAACTTGACTGGATGTTCCTGCTGTCCACCCGGGGACCCCTGTGGGACACCCAGCAGGGGCGGTGCCGGCCAGTGGCCAAGTTTCACATCCCTTCCGACTTCCCCTTCTCCTTCTCTGGACATGCCCCCGGAATTGCCCCAGGGGCCAGAGGCCGCCAGGGACATTTTGAGCAGACCTCAGCAAGACTGGGACATCGGACATCCTACCCCAAGCCACAGCTGGTGCGGGGGCATGGTCAGCAAAGCAGGAGTCTGCACGGATGGAGGCAGTGGAGAGGGTATTGGGCGGGGCTGGGAGAACCGGAGACGTGAAAGAATCTGTTTTAAAATCAGTAACTTGTAAGACTTTTTCAGGGTTGTGAAAGCAACGGGTATGCATTGTTAAAAGCTTGTAAAATACAGAAAAGCACGAAGAAAGAAGAATAGTGCAGCAGTAATGAGAAGCTCAATGATCAGCTTTTTAGACCTGCCACCTCCTAGCTGCATGTCCTTGGAAATGCATTTAACCTCCTGGAGCCTTGGTTTTCTCTCTCTCTCTCTCTCT